CTCCAGTCGATTTCAGCCAAAAGCCGGAAAAGTTGGTCTCGCGTCGCTCGTTACGCGTCGAGGTAGTCGTGGTGTCGTCTCTCGCGGGGCAACATCTCTCTGCTTTTGCACCTGAAATTTCCTCGCGCACCGTCTACGCGTAGCCTAGGCGTCGTTTACGCGCGTCGACGTCGATCCTCGACGGAGAGCGACGCCCGATTGGATTCGCCGACCGCGTTAGTAATACTTTTTCTTGTACTTGCGATACCGCTCTTCCACCGACTGCCTGTGCAACTGATTGATAAGATCGTTCGGTACGTACCATAGTTTCTCCGCGTTGCTGAGAAGAGCTTCCGTCACTCGGCAACATATCGCAGCCATGTTAACCTGGGCCGTTAAATCGGTACGGTCGCGAGGATGAACGTACCGCGGTGGAAACAAAGAAGGTGCGACAATCATCGCAACGTTATGGATCGACATTTTGTTCGACGCCTGATTCTCGACGACCAGTTTCAAGAACGTCGTTAGCGCTTTCAAGGTACAACGATGTTCTATCGGTAAGAGTAGCACCAGCAAATTCAACGAGTACGACAACTCTCGTCGATCCTTTACTCCTGGACGCACAAAAGAAATCACGTGTTTTTACGAGATCCGATCGAACGGACGACAAGGGGTAGGAACCGTCTCTTTCCTCTCGAAGCGAAACGCGTCGCGGTGACCAGCGGCGCGCGTGACCGAGAACGCGAACGGGTCATCCGTCTACTTACCGTGGCTTTGGTAGAATGCGTCGATAAGTTCGACCGTGAGCAAAGGTTGCGGCAAATCGCGCAGCAATTTCTTCAGAACCGCCGACAGATCGTGACACGACGTGCGCCTGAACAATTTGTCCATCTCTTTCGGTTTACAATAGAAATCCGTTTCCAATTGCACGCATATCGACTCGACCTGAACACAACGACACCACCATTACAGTTTCATCGAGAAAACTCATCGCGATCGGCTTGTATTCTTATATTTTGATTGTCAAACGTGTGCGTGTGTGTACTTTCTGCTTGTGTCCTCCGACGCGAAGAATTCCCTCTTCCCTGACGCCGCGTTTGGTCAACTCGCTCAGAACTTTTTGGAAGACCTGCGGAATATTGCTCTCCTCGGATGTCAGTTGGCTGTCTCGAAGCAGCAGAGTGGACAACGACACGCCGAACAAGTTTCCAGCTACGAACAACACACAGTGAACCGATTAATACCGCGAGCTCGAATCGATCGAGAACCGCGACGAGCACGACACCATCTCCCATCGTCGTTGATGCGAACCTTTCGTTCGACGCTTGTTCGGTTTGCGTTTCTGCAACGGTAAATTGTATTTGTCAAAGACGGCGGTCAGTTCGAGCCACAGCAACGGTTGCAATCTGGTGAAATCTCGTTGCGACAACGTCTCGACTCCCAGTCGCCTCTGTATGTCGTCGGTCGCCAGAGTGTCCGCGTTGCCGATTCGCGCCTGCGACTTGACCTCGTTGGCTTTGCACATCTCCTCGAAGCTCAAATGCCCGTGGGACGAGGTGCGACTCAAGGGACGCGTGATCAGAGCGTCGTCCGCCGGCCTGTGCAATCCGTAGAGGCTGCTGTGGCTTCGGCTCACCGTCGCGTGACCGGCCGAACTCCTTCTGAAACCAACACCGACGCGACTAGTCGCGCGGGATCGAAACCTTCGAGGATCGTTCGTTCGACGATCGTCGGCGGGGCGCGTACCTCAACGTCGAATCCTTGCTGGAGCTTCCGGTGAGCTTCTCCCCGGCTTCGTTTCCCGTTGCATCGGACACGCTCGCGGTTTCGTCGGGGTCGCTGCCGCTCCTCCTTTGCGCGGTTCCTCTCGACGCGTGTATCGTGCCCAATCTGTGATAGCCCGTCAGCTGTATACCCTCTGCGATCGAACAGCACCGACAGGTGTGTGTGTGTGTGTGTGTGTATAGAACAACGACCGGAATGTCACCGATCCTGCAAAATTTCGAGTATAACCCAGGAATACCTGAATCGTTCGCGACGTCTCCTCGCAACCAGTTCCCGGCGCGCCTGAAGATCTCCTGTGCGGACAACGAAGGGGTGGACGGTGCTGGCGCGGCGGCCGACGGTGCGCTCGGAGTTCTGCGTACCGTCTCTTTGCTCTCGTTCGCCGTGGCACGGTGTTGAAAGACCGACACGAAGCTCGGCACGGCCACGCTTGCGGGACAGAAAGCCGGCGAGATTACTCTCGACACGCCGAGGGAACGCTCGCGCGTCGCGGACGGCCTCTTACCTCGCGTGGTGCGGCTCGAGAACGCCGGCAGCCGGAGGCGGAGGAGGCGACGCGTTCTCCGACATCGTGCCCGCCACAGAGTCCAGGGAGTCGGGCGTAGCGCTGCGAGATCTCGTTCCCGTGCTCGACGCCTAACGTGTCGAGAAAATACCGATTAGCGCGCGACTACTACTCGAAGTCGGATCTCCTTCGAGGGCCGTTCTCGTCTGGCAGTACCTCGACGTCTTTAAACACGTCCCTGATGTCGGGCTTGCGAACGCGTTGCCGTTGATTGAAGCGTTGTTTCACCGTATGATTCAGAGACCTGACCCTGCGTTTCACCGCCTCCGCTTGCGCCCGCGACAACGGACGCAGAGCCGCTCCTAGTTCCTCCGGCGGCACTTCCTTGCCAACTTTCCACGCTTCGGTCAGCTGTCCCAGTCCGGCGGTGCGCAACCATTCGGCCTCCTCCTCTCCGTCTGAAAACCTCCGTGTTATCATTTTCCCTCCGAGAAACTCCGACAGGCTACGTTCAAGCGTAGCGTCGGCGCGACAAGCGGAAACGTGACCCACCGTCGTAAGTACGAGGGCATTCCTCTTCCAGATAATCGTCCAACATTTTTGTCTCCTCGATCATCTCCTGATACTGCTCCCAGTAATCCGAGAGATGATTGTCTCCCTCCGCGTAAGTCGTTCCCTGTGTCCTCTCCATTCTATCGAACGGTTGTCCGCTGTATCGTCCACACCTTCTCCGCGATATCAAGCAGCCATTCGTACGGCTCTGAAAAGAATCGCATCGTGACATTGACTGAACTGGGAGGACGCGAATACCGAAAGGGCTAAACTAAACGCGAGAGTGCGATCTAAACGCGTCTAAAAGGATAACGATACCCACCGGTGGATCGGTGGTAAGCCGAATTAGGTCAAAAACCGAACGCGTCCTTTTAACCGAGACGCGTGTCACGAACTGCGAGAAATCGAAGTAACTTTACGCGTGTCCCCGCGCTCGTACGATCGTACGAACACGCCGGGCGAATCGCGATGCGTTACGGGAACCGGAGACCGGAGACCTAACCTCTCGGCGAAGAAGATTCGTCGATTTAGGAGGAAAAGCAGCGACAGGTTCATCGCGAAGCAAACGCGCGCGTTCAAGGGTAAACGTTTACGCGAAAGGTACAAGAACATTCGCGCGATCGTTTCGAGAATAAATTCTAACCTTACCGCGATCGACGGACACGATCTCGCGCGTGACTCACACGAACGCGAGCACGCGCGCGCGCGCGTCGCGCGACACACGCCTAAGAAACAAAGGAAGAAGAAGCAACTTTCGACGTCGAATCCGTGTTCCGGTTCCGACTCCTTCTCGAAGCGGAGAGATTTCCCACGCGAACGGACGGTCGGTCGCTCGTCGATCCAGCGACACGCTGGTTAATAGGCAGCTGCCTTTCAACGAAACTTCTCGCGGGCGAGAGCAGCGACGATACGACCTAAATACGACGTAACCGCGTCCGATCGACGGCAAACGAATTCGCACCTTCGTAGAACGTTCGCTTTCTTCGACTTCACTTGCACTGGATACCTAACGAGCGAACGTCGAGAACGCGTAAGTACTCGCGACTCGACAACCTGTTGCTGACGCATATACGACTCCCACCTGTATTTGTACACACTTCTTCGCGGTACCAACGACTTCGAGCTGACATCTGTATCTACGGAGAGCCGTTCCCCCGCTGGCAACGCATCTCCCATCTTTCTTCTCTTCCCGGAACGACGAGCGAGAAGACCGAAGCCAGTTGTACGTATCGGCTATTCGCGGTTACGTGCTGCCACTCGGCATGCGCGGGAAACGCGCGTTACACGGATCTTCCGCCAGAAACTTACGATAGGTACAGACCGCGCGCGTGCAATGTATTTTTCTGTCCACCGTTCTGAAATACCGACAGAGTTCGAGATCTCGCCATGCATTAGCGGACTCTAACCGAATCGAACGGACAACTATGGAACTATACGAGACTGCAACATGGAAAGTGCGCGGTTGGGAAGTTGATCTATGCACCGTTACCGGGTCCAAATGTTACGGCGTTGCGACATCTAGAGATTCGTATATAAGAGAGTTATATATCAGAGCTTTTTTAAGTATGTACCCCACGGTAAGAGAGCTTCCGAGCTTTTGAGCCACATGCAAAATGAGCTAACGAGCTTTTGAGTCTTTTTCACGCGAGGAAAACGCAATTCTGTCGGTAATGTGTACCGACGCAATTTGTCATGAGTTGGTAACGTATACCGACATATTTCAGGGGTCTCTCAAGGGCGTTTCTCGTGGTGGTCTCTCGAGGTGGTCGTCTCTCAAGGGGTTTCGAGGGGTTTCTTACACTGATTTCAGAGGTCTCTTAAGGGGGTTTTCTAAGACGAGCGAAGGTACACGTCGGTGAGGTGGACAGCATAGTCGTTTCTTTTGCTCCACATATCGAAGATAGGCTGGTACTGTTCGGCTAGAAGGTTCAGCGGTTTCTTCATAGGTGGCGAAACTAGGATTAAAGAGATTGAAGTTTCGATGGCTCCATCTGCCGGAGAGAGTTTGGTACTGTTTGGTTAGAAGTTTCAGCGGTTCCGCGTTATGCGGCGCCACCGATGCGGGTTCAAATGATTAAATATTATTATCTTAACAGGTTTTTGATCGATTGTACTCAACTATTTTTGCGTTATCGATGAAATACTGCTTACATATTTGAGGACGTAACAGTTAATTGTAATATCTTGTAGAATTTACATATGCACGTATTCCGAATATATACATATACATGGCGGGATGAGAAGAATGAAAAGGAATGTTTGTAATATTATTCATGTTTATTCGAATAACGTTTACTCGTATTGTACACAGATAACGAAGTAAACAATCATGTCGAGCTGAATGAAGCGAGTAAAGAATAAAGTAATATAAAAATGTTCACCCGAGTAGCATGAAAATTCCGAATTTCCAAGTGTGTTGTGTTTCGGTGAATAAAATAACTGGTAATAATGTGAAATGCGATGTCCATTTAAGGGGGCCTAAGGTGTCCCTTCGTTTACGTTTCCTGGTCTCTCTAGCGGGGGATCGGAAACGTCGAGCGACAAAGGGGAACGGTTTCGTTCAGCTTCTGTTGGCACGATTGCCCCATCCTCTTCTGTGCGTATCCTTGTATTCGTCCATGGCACGCAATTGCCTCAAAGTAGCCGCGTCGTCGGCTTCGATCAGTTCTTCTCGTTGAACGTCCTCCTGTTCAGCGTCGTTCCCACTGGTGTTTGCGATGTCTTGCAAACATTTCCCCTTGTCCTGCTGCGCCGGATCCGGCCAACTGTGTCGAAGAAACGAAAAGTTAGGGCAGTTGGAAATCGTGCAATTCCGAATACGCAGGCGCGTGTACGCGTACGGCACTTACTCTCCCTCCTTGACGCGCTGGTCGTAAAATTCTTGAACGGTGAGAACAGGTAAGCTGGGATAGCCAGCCCCGTAGACTTTCTTTTGCAGTTCGTCCCGCGTGATAATGATCGGCTGCAACTTGACGGAGGACGGCTTCTGCTTCCGCGGCGCGTGCGACGCCGCGCTTTCGGTTTTCCCCGTGTTCTTGATATGCTCGAGAATCGGCTTTTCCGCGGCCAGCATAGTTAGTTCTTCTATAGACAGGTTGACGTACAACTTGACGAGCGTGACAAAGTATTCGCGTTTAATCTCGTCGTCGATGTTCGGATTGGATAGATTCTTTCCGAGGGTTTCCAAGCGCGCCTCCAGTTCTTTTTGCTCTTTGTATCTCTGCAGCTTGGTGTTCCGGCGACATACCTGGAAAACGCGAAGCGTGAGCGACGGTTCCGAAAGGAGGAAAAACTGGTGATGCATACCATCTCCGTGATCGCCTCGCCGTTCGAACGAACTCTCTCGGGCTCGTGCTCGGTCTCGCGATCCGAGCGAATGTTCGGCACGTTCGCGTCGGTCAGGCCGTACGCTTTAACGCGCTTCAGGAAGTCGACGAAATAAATTTCGGCAACGGTCACGATATGCATTCGATCGTCCACGTTGCAAAGTTTCGTGGCGAGAGTACCGAGGAGAGCCGGCAGTAGCAAATACTTGACGTTCTCCGTGGCCACTTCGTCGAAGGTTTCGTTCTCGCTGAACATGTCGACTATAGAGACCAATTTCGTTGCATCTTCAAACATATGCATAGCGCGTTTCACGTCGGACTATCGTAAAAAGGGGGAACGGTAAAAAGACATACTACCAGCCATATTCTTTTCGGAAAAGAAGGGAATCGAAAGGTTCGAAAGAGATATAACGTATCGGCGTCGGTTACCTGAACCTTCGTACTGTTCGTCGGTTCGTCCGTTTTGTTGATGTCGTTGAACAGCTCGAACGCTCTGTCGAACAGTTGCGAGAGCGTCGCGGTGTCTCTCGCGTCGTCTCTCGCGTCGTCTCTCGCGTCGTCTCTCGCCTCGTCTCTCGCCTCGGCCCTCGACAGATTCTCTTCCGACATTGTCGCCGATTCGACACGGTTCATCCACTGAATTCGCAAACTGGCAAACGAACGTTTCGCGACGGAGGTTAGGATTAGGCGAAAGCGCGGCGCGAAGTTGGCAGCTCTCGAGACGGGGAACGATACTATCGATCGTTCGATCGGTCGTTCGTTCGAGACTGGTTCTCGAGAAATTCGAAAATGGTTCGACGGGATAGGAATGCCGTGTTGTCGGGGTTTACTAATAAGTCGAGAGAATTAATTCGTTGGTACAGGTTCATTTTCTTATGTTTCGCCATTTTTCCATCGTCGACCGTTTCGCTTTCGAAGCACTGAAATAAATACTCGACTACTGAGACAACGCTTTGCACTGCTTGCAATTCTCCATTCGTTGGTCGAACTCCTCGATCTGCAGCGTCATTTCGAAGAATCTGTACTGGTCGTGAATGTTCCTGGTGGCGGTGCGCAGTATGTCTTGGGGACTCGTGCCAGGCGCTTGACGAACAGAAACGAGAAACGATAGAGGCGAGTCGCGCGGTGCGCGCATCGAGAACAGGTTCGCATACTTATCGCGAGATGCGCGGACAGCGCGGTTTTGTCCAAGGAGAGTGCCCAGATGCGAAGGTTGTGGACTTTCACCACACCGTTGATCTGCATGAACGTGCTCTCGACTTGCGAGTAGTCGACGCCCTTCGGGATCCCTTCCATGAGAACGTTCATCACGTCTTTGATTATGGCAACGGTGGTCAGCATGACCAGGACGGAAAAGAGGAAAGTGCAAATAGGGTCGACTATGCTCCAGTCGGGCTGAAAACGCGACGAGGAGAAGTTAGATCGGCCGATCGCGCGACATCCGGCCGGCCATAGTTCCCGCGGCGTACCTTGAAATAAATTACTAGCGCCGCGACGAAGACGCCTATGCTCTGAATAAAATCTCCCAGCACGTGAATGAAGGCTGCTCGCACGTTGATGTTCTTTTTATCGTGGCCGTGAGCGTCCTCGTGGACCGTTTGGTTCTCCAGGTTGGCCGGCTGGCTCGACTCTCGCGGCTCGTACTCGTGGCCGTCGCTGTGGCCGTGGCTGTGGCCGTGGCTGTGGCCGTGCTGGTGCAGCGACAGGCCCATCCTGCGACCGAACATTCTCCGTTAGTTTGTTCGCGACGAGGCGATTCGGGAGGAAAAGCTCCTCTGTATAGTCGACTCGAACGTTCGTGTACCACTGACACTAGATTTACCGCGACGCCAACGGCAGACGAGATCAACATCACGGTAGCGTTCAGTTCGAATTCCCGATGAACGATTCTTTCGACTGCCAGGTAGAACAGGATTCCGGTGACCACCCATATCAAGAGGACCGAGGTCAGAGCTCCGATCACCTGAAACGAAGCGAGAACGATCGTCAGCCTCCGACGACGCGGCGTTTCGAAAAGAAGGGAAGCGCCGCGCTACCACGTACTTCCGCTCTGTACCATCCGAACGGCATTTTTCTCGTCGCTGGCCGACTCGCGACCCATATGGAGAACAAGGAGATCATGAAGGAGGCGAAATCGGTCAGCAGATGAGCAGCGTCCGTCGCGATGGCCAAACTGTTCGACAATACTCCACCTGGAAGCAGGGTCCGAGAAACGTATATATTAGATTTTCGTCGGCGGTTCGATTAGTTTTGTACGCGCATCTCTGGATTACCTACGATTTCCGCCATCATAAATAATACGCACAACGCGCTGGCGAGCAGCAGTTTCTTCCTGGCTTTCTTATCGATCTCCTCGTTTCTCTCTCTATGGCAGTGGTCTTCCGGTATCGCTGCGAAAGCAAAAGCCCGTAGAATTAAAGAGGGAGGTAGGCGACGAGAGTCGACTCGGTTGTTCGATTCGAACGGAGAGCCTTACTGGAAGGGCGTCTCTGGAAATCTCCGGTGGCCGCGGTTTCTTCGAGCGAACTGCCGCCGCTCATTACCGTGCAGCAGCCCGAGAGTTTCCCGTGAACGCAAAAGATCACCTTCCTAGGCGACGAAGCCTCGTTCTCCTCCAAATCATTGTTGTTCGGCGGAATACTCGTCCCGTACCCGTACACAGCTTTGTCTTTGAACCTGCGGAACATCGACAAACTCTTAGAAACGTCGGGACGTTTAATAATCCGACGGCGTATACACCGTATATATATATATATACATATATTGTCGTCGCGTCGTCGTACATCGTTTCGGTGGAATCTCTAAACCTTAAATCGTGCTCGGTCATCGCCGTTCGGTTCCGCTGGAGGCACCTTCCACTTTGCTCCGTCCGCGCGGATAAACGGCGACTAAACAACGGCTAAACGGCGACAACTGTCGAGGCGAAATTATAATACGTTCGGAAGAAAACGAGCGTGTTATCGCGTTTCGGGCGTCTCACGTAATCCTTATCGGTCCGAACGATCGCGTATCGTTTTCGGATTTCGGTCGATGGGGACGGAGGATAGAGGAGAAGAATGTATTCATCCTCGAGAAGGCGGAAGGGCGCGAATCGAGCGCGAGATACTCGGATTTACGTGACTCGGAGTTTCTCGGATTCCGATATCGGTCTCTTTTTATCGAGATATCTCGCGCAATCGTCGTTATCCGAGGATGCCGTGTGCAAACGCGCATCCGTTGGATCGTTATCGATCGTAAGAGCGTCGTTCGCGAAATCCTGCGATACCGAGGGCGTGTGCGCGTGCCGAGCCGATTTTTTCTCCCAATCTCGTCGATCGTACGCCTCTCGGCGTTTCCGCTCGCACTTCCGGCATGCCGGGCGCATTATCTATTCCTTTCCTGCGAATTTCCTGCGAAGCGCCCGGAAACTCGGAAACCTCCGCGTATCCTCGACGCGACCGATTTCGCTCGCCGATCGCGATTCGATCTAGGCTTTCTTCTCGCGAACTCTGCGTTCCGTTCCGTTCGTTTGCTCCGCGGCCGCGTCGTCGCGAGTCCTGCCTCTCGCGTTCCGCTCGAATTCTCGACGGCTACGATTCGAGGACGGTCCGAGAAAAAGAGAAAGGAGCGGCGGAGCGGCGGAGCGGAGAGCGCCAGTTTACGGGCCAGAAGGTTTTCTCTGGTCGAGGGAAGAGGCGGAAATCCCTGCCGAAAGCATGGAAATGTCGTTCGACTCTCGGACGCGCGCTCCTCGCGCTCCTCGCGCTCCTCGGGCTCCGCGCGTGCTGGTTCCGGCGGAACGGCTGGTGGGGAAAAGGTGGGGGCACGTGGGGGTCCGATCAACCGATCGAATCGAATCGACTCGACTCGACTCGACTCGACTCGAGGCAGAAACGGTTCCGGAA